TTGTTATGAAGTTGGTTGCTGATGATGGTTGTGAGGACGATGGTAATGATGGGGGTGATGATGAAGTTGATGATGATGACGATGATGTTGATGCTGGTGATGATTCTGAATATGACGATTATGATGATGATTATGCTGCTGTTGATGATGCTGATGCTGATATACGATGATGCTGCTGCTGATGATGCTGATGCTGATTGTGATGAGGGTGCTCATTATGATGCTGATGCTGTTGATGATGATGCTGATGATACTGATCATCATGATGATTATGATGATGACGACGACGATGTTGCGGATGCTGTCTATGGCTAATTGTTGATGGCGCTGGTGATAGTGCTGATGCTGATGACGACGATGATGACATCGAAGGTGGTAATGTAGTGAACTTAATAATTACAGTATTACTGGTGATGGTTGTGATGATGATTATGATGCCGACGGTGATGATGAGGAGGATGCTGCTGATGATGATGATGACGATGACGATGACGATGACGATGATGATGATGCTGATGCTGATGATGATGATGATGATGATGATGATGATGATGACGATGCTGATGATGCTGATGATGATGATATTGTTGATGACGGGGGATTTCGATGCGAATGACGATGCCGCTGGTAATGATACGGAGTAGGCTGACTAGGATGATAACTGTTATTATCATTATTATTCTTATTATTCTTATTCTTATTATTATTATTATTACGATTATTATTATTATTAGTCTCATTATTATTTTCATTATTCGTATTAATGTCTTCAATTTTTTACTAGGAGTATTCTGAATATTATGATTATTTGCAATAGCAGTAGTATTACTATTAGTCTCTTTATTGTGGTTGTTGCTGTTATATTATTATTATTAATAATAATATGTTTTATTATTGCTGATGCTGGCGACGATGCTGGTGCTGATCGGTATATGAGGACGAGGGGGAGACGTATATGTGTGTGAGCTGGGCCGTAGGAGTAGATGGGAAGGGACAGGCTTCGCGGAGGAATCACACGGGGATGGGGTGGGGGAGAGTCGGCGAGGAGCAGGAACGGAACCCGAGGAACCCTGGGGAGCCCCGAGGCATCCAAGCAATGAACCCGAACCTAGGAACCCGAGGAACCCCAGGGGCCCCCTCTGACGCAGCACCCTGGATCCACCAATCTTTTACAAACAAGGAAGAACCATTCAGGCAGCGTCTAATTCTCAACACTTCGCGCATCCCCACCGGCCCATCCAGGAGTGATGCCTAGGGGAGCTGCCCTTCTCGGGGGAGCGTGACATCATTCGGATACCTCGGGAAGCCTGAGTGAACTAGAGGCCTCTTAGACGCCTCTCGGAGTCGCTTGGGATGTCTCCTTGGGGGGCTCTTGGCGACCTCTCAGGGCTCACCCCCGCCGTCACTGTCAAGAACCATGCGCGGGGTGATCACGGGGCGTCCGCGCGCGGTCCAGATTTTGCAGCAGTGCGTGTTTTGCAAGGTTTTTGAAGGAGATGGCGGGGGTGGGGCTTGTCATAGGCCCGGGCTTCTCGCCCGTCGTGTGGGGGAGCGGGGGTATTTATCGGGGGCGGCCAAGAGGGGGGTGATGACTAAGGGGGGGTGGATATCATGGCGGGGACCATGATATCTCCCTAGATTTCGTGGCGCCTCTTCTTACTTCAATGCGTTCCCTGCCCCACCCTGGTCCGCGCACATGCCTCGGGCCATGATTTGCACCCCCCCCTCTTGGACGCCCCCCTCTTCGACGCTTTCGAATCTACGAGGAGCTATGATCACGTACCCAGCGAGAACGCCGCAAGCTGTCTCGCTCACTCCCACACGCCCTCCCACTACATGTTAAGTAGCACCCAAGTCTCAGCATAGGCAGGGGCCGCCATCGTCAACAATGGAGAACCAATGCAGACGCCAGCCAGGTGCGCGAAGACTGCGAGGTGCGCCGCACATGCCAGGTGCGCCACGTGTGGCAACATGTCGACCGCTCCACCATCCCTGTCAAAAACCAATGCAGGTTTGCGAGTACTCTGTGCTGCGTGTTGACACGGGTGGTGGGCCTGCACGCAGCCGGCAGCATGCCGCCTGCGCTTAGCAGGCGATTTGCGGCCCCCCCGCGCAGTCAGTGTCAAAGACCAATGCAACGTGATTGCGGGGCGTCCGCGCATGATCCAGATTTCTGTGCACAGTGCACTCCGTGTTGCTTTTTGCAAGGGATGATGGGGGGTGTTTGCATATCACACAGCAGCCACTGTTTCGGCACCCCGCCGTCCTTGTCAAAACCAATGCGAAGTGAACATGGGGCGTCCGCGCATGATCCACATGTTGCTGCCATGTGCGCTTCGTATGGTTTTTTGCACGGGATCGTGGGGGGTGTGCCCGGATTGCTCCGGGTTTGTCACAGGTCTGGTGGGGGAGGGGGTGTCTATTAATATGGAACAGCGATAAAACCCCTCCCCGAAGGGGAAGAAGGAAACGCTCTAAACCTCCTACGCCGTAGGGGTCTGGTGGTATTGGGGAAACATGTCTTTCCGTCCGGTGGCACGCGGGGTTGTCCCAAGGTTGTCCCGTGGTTTTCCCGTGGTTGTCCC